TCTCTTCAGCAGTGAAAGAGTCTGGAGCTCAGCCCCTGGCCAGAGAGTTGGACATGAGACAAGGGGCGGCTGCTGACCGGCCAGCTCTGCCAACGCCATGACTCTCCCGAAGGAAGGCACAGCTGTCTCTGCAAAGCCACTGCAGCTAGTCCAGGTTTGCTTTCCCATCGATAAAAGCCGAGTGAACCCAGCAGACGGGTCAGAGGAACAGAAGCGAACCCTAAGACCCAGAGTCACCTGAGCGGCTGCCACTCAGGCTGAGGGCCCGATGGCACTGGCCGCAGGGAGCTGAGCACTCACCTCCTTGGCACTTGTGAAGGCAACACCGGAGAACGCGTATCTGTCCACAACGAGGGTCACGCCCTGGCTCAGCTTCTCTTTAATCAATGGCCTGAAAAACAGAGAATGAAAAAACAATCAGAATGCTCAGAGTCCTGGGGGAGGATGACCCCTGAACTGTCCTGACAAGTCAGCCCAAAAGGCAATCTGTAACCCTTCCACCACAAAGCTCGGGGGCAGGGGCAGCAGCAGAGCGCAGGGCAGCAGCTTGAGACAGCAGACACCCCTCCTCCCTGGGTTGTCAGTCTGGGCAATGTATGAGACCCAGTGGGCTGGAGGGCGGGCTCCTGGCGTCAGACCTGCGGAGCGCCCCCTCACCCGTGCATGCATGTGCTACACAGGAAGGAGAGCACCAAGCTCTGCTCCGAGCTTCAAGAGATGTCACGTGGGCATTCAAGCCCAAGGTGGGGAAATGGTAACTGCCAACAGCTGCCAAGTGCCCCTGAAGCCAGACGCAGAAGCAGGCCAGGGCCAGGAGGCGTCCTTGGTTATCTGAGCAGAGGGCCAGCATGACCCCACTCGGGGAAGAACTGGTAAAAGGGAGAGTGGAGGAGGGTGTAGCAGTGCCTGGGTGCTCAGACCCCTGTGCCTGCACTGCAAGGCCAAGGACCACCTTAGCCAAGCAGCACAGGGCTGCTGTCCCCACAGTAGGTGCATACCGACAGAGACCCTGGCCTGGGAAGCACCACTTAAGCCAGAGGCAGCAGAGTCAGACCCAGCCCCCGCCCAGCCTGACTGGAGCCTCAAGCTCAAGGACACCCCTTTGGAGTCCAGGTTCAGTTCCTGCATAACACGACCAGGGCAGGCAGGACTCAACATGGTGAAACCCTGTTAAAAATACCTCCCACCAAAAAAAAAAAAGGGGGAGCAGCTGGGTAGTGGGATGGGGCCGGCTCCCACGTGGCCAGCTGCAGTCTGACCCTGGACACGGAGGCCTGAAACACAGCCTGTGCATGCACACCCACAGTCCTGAGAATGGAGACAAGAACAGCAGTGGAGTCGCCCTCTCTAGGGGTGCTCCCCCCTGCCCCCAGAAGTGCACGTGCCCCTACAGCCACTCGTAGCTGACGTTTGACACAAGGGCAGAGCTGACAATGGAGCACGGTCCTGTCCATAAATGGCACCAAAACGGACAGCCAACGCAACACAGACGTGGGCCAGCCCAGAGCGCAGTTGTGAGGCACTATGCAGAGGAAACCATGTCCCCCACGGTGGACTGGGTGTAAGGACTGGCCCTGCTAGCTTGAAAAACAGGCCAGAGGTAGAGAACTGCTGGGTAGACTGAAGGACAGGCCTTGCTGGGGCTGCCTGTTTACCGTTCCCTCTCATGGACACCCAGTACTCTCTGGCACTAAAAAAAAGGAAAGAAAAAAAAAAGAAAAAAGAAAAAAACATAGCTAGATAAAAATCATACCCTTCCCCAAATTTTAACTCAAAATGGATCAAAGACCTAAATGTAAAATGAAAAATTATAGAACAACTAGGTGGTAACAGGAGAAAATCCAGATGACCCTGAATTTGGCAATGACTGTTAAGATACAACACTGGGCCACCAGGTGGCGCAGTGGTTAAGGTACTAGACTCCCACATGGCCGACCATGGTTCAAGTCCCAGACCTAGTGGCTTGCTTTCTCATTTTCCCTCTCTCTCTCTCCCTCTGGTCAAATTTAAATAATAATAATAATAAAATAATTATTTAAAACAAAACAGGTATGACACTGTGGAGACTGGCAGATGGTATAGTGGTTAAGATGCTAGACTCCTGCATGGCCAACCATGGTTCAAGTCCCAGAAACGGCAACTTGAAAAATCACACCAGGAATGTGTGTGCACCCAAGATCCTAGGAGGAGAAGGGGTTGCGGCATGGCCATCCCCACAGGGAGTTATCTCTCACTTCCCAGTACATGTGCCCTGGGTCAAACACTTAAAAAAGTTACAACTCTAGAAGTATGGCCACAAAAGGAAGAACGGGAAAGCTGGACTTCACTGGAACCACGGCTTGTACTCCGAGACATGGTCAACGGACAGAGAAGCCAGACTAGCGTGCAGAAAGCATACCACACACAACACCAGTGTGCACGGCAGAGAGACGGCAGCAAGAGACAGCCCAGTAGGAAACGGGCCACAGATCATAACTGGTACCTCCTCAAAGAAATGCACAGGGGCCGGCTGGCTTTGTGGTTCAGCGGTAACATGCTGTCAAAAAGCTAGATCCCACAGCAGCCACAGTCCCAACACGTGGCCATCAGCCTGAAACACACTAGGGTACAGCATACAAGTACCAGGACCTGCAGGCTGGAGGGCTGGACAGAGAGACAGAGCAATCCCAGTGTGACCAAGCCTTGTGGAGGGTGCTTCTCTCCTCTCCTGCCCATGACTCCACAAGTAAAGGTGGATGTGCACACAGAAAGATGCCCCCGGTGTGTGTCCTTGGAGAAATGCATCCGAGATGTCCTGTGGGAGGTGTGAGGACAAACCATGGCGCACCCAGACAAGGACCACTAGTGTCGCAAAGAACTATCAGGCCATGAAGACACAGAAGAAACTTAGATGTGTGCCACGTAGTTGACTAAGCACTGGAGCAGGTGCGGCAGGCGGGTGCACGTGAGGCCAGTGTCTGGGGTAGGACTGCCCTTTAGAAAGTCGGGGTTGAGCCAGAGGTGGTGTGGGTGGTGCTAGCTCCCACATAAGGGCTGAGTCACACACCTGGGGGCTTGAAAATCATGGCAGGCGTGTGTGTGTGCATGCCCAAAATCCTGAGAGGAGACTGGAGCATGGCCATCCTCCTGGAAGAGTGAATTCTTTCACTCACTCTCTGGAGATTGCACACACCCTGTGTGCAAAAAAATGGCAGAAGTCATGCAGCCAACATAGGCAGAACATGGGGAGCTGCCTCTCATGTCTAAGCAAGGCTTGGCTGAGAAGAGCTGCAAGCAAGGCCATAGCCACGAGCTCAAGGTTTCAACTGTGTTTGTTGTACTGGTTTGTGCTTTCAAACTCTCTACCATGGGCTTTACTGTCGTTATGGTACCCCAGTACCCCATAAGGGTAAAATAACACCCCCAGTTTTACTGTAACTTTTACAATAAAACCAATTAATAATCCTGAAAGAATGTGGATCCCTAATGCAGCAGCAAACGGGAATTATTTCCGTGAGACTCACCCCGCCTGCCTGGAAAATGTCAATAAAGAATGCTGCATTCACTTCTACTGGGGATTACACAGATAGCAAGGTTTGGGTTAATGGAAAGCTACTAAATTGGTGAAATGACCTCAGTAGCTGGGAGAGACTCAGGGGCTCACCCGCAAGGTACTCATACCCCAAAGACCATGAGCCACATTTGATCTCAAAAGGAAAGATTGCCACTCCTCTGAGCCACAGCCATTGTATAGAACAGCACATAGAGGGTCCCAAGTACACAATAACCTTTAGGTCAGTCGTTAAGCTGCTTACAAGACCACATTCCTTTCCCATGTGGGCAATAGGCTCACCCCCTTAGCTGTAGACTATCCCAGAGGTAATATAGATATTCCACTTTAGTATATATTAACCAAGTGTTTGCTTAACAAGACAGGATTTCTTTTTTTTTTTTTTGGAGAGGTTTTTGCTACAGGGCACGTGCGCTTGCCAGACAGACAGATACAGAGAGACAGAAAGTGAGAAATCACCCCCCCAGGGGGGATGGCCACGCCGCAATCCCTTCTCCTCCATTCTCCTCTTGGGATCTTGGGCGGGCACACATGCACATGCGCCTGGCGTGAGTTTTAAGTCACCGGATCTGGGTCGCGAACCGCGGGTCGACTACGTGGGAATCCGCTGCCGCCCTGGCCTGGGGCTGAAGTTATCAAGCCGGCCAGGCAGAAGTTATCAAGCTTCCTGTAAGCCTCCTCTTCAAAAAGACCCTTCCTGGTAATCAAGATCTAAGAAAATGTACCAGACAAATGGATTCCCTCGCCCTGAGAACTGTGACTGATTACACCTAATCAAACAGAACAGTGCATCGTGTTTTATGATCATTGTTCCTATGCTATGAATACTTTACTTTTTAGAGTAAATCTTTTACCTCCCCATCACCCCTCCTGCCCCTGTAAACATCCCCCAATAAATAGGTATGCCTCCTAGCCACAGATGCTGCAGTCTTGAGCTTACTCTGACTGTAGTCTGCTGAGAACATGCTAAATAGCATAGATATCTCTGCCTGAGTCACCTTCTTACGAGCTTCAACCCATCCTGGCAGGTCTCCGGCAAAAAACCCAAAGCAAACAAAACAAAACCCAACTTTAGAGTGGAGAAAGCCTTTCCAGGCAGCCAGACGCCATTGTCAAGAGCAGCACAGGGAATGAGGACGGGCCCTACCAGGGCTAGCTGGGCTGGCTAATGCACTGCAGTCCACCTCCCACCTCCCGCAGCACACAGGGCAGTGAGGGAGGCAGAGGCCCGCTGCTGCCCACTCCAGGGCAGAGATCTGCCAGGCAAAGTGAGGAACTTGGCTGCCCATGACCTGCAGGATCCACCCTATTTACATGAGAGAAAACAAGCTATTGCTGGTAGCCTGGATCTCCGTTTGCATAAATGGAAACAGAAGACATCTGAGAGGCCCCTGGGGCTCCTCCACAGAGAAGCCCCACTACGATGTGTGGACAGAGGAACGGGAAAGGGAACACTTACAGCTGTGAAGGTCATCTGTAAGGAGCAAAACAAACTACTGCGCAGCGGGTAAGGAAAACCGGGACACAGGGGCTGTGTAAACGGTCTTTTGCTTTGTTTGGCCAGAGGTCGCCACTGGCGGGCCACACATATGTGACAGAGGGGCCAGGGAGGGCGAGAAAGCACCCCCAATGGGAAATCCCTTCCCATCCTGCCGGACGTGGGACAGGCAGGCACACGCACCACCATGTGTTTCAAGCCCAGGTTGGGATTTGAACCGGGGTCTACCACGTGGGATCCAGCTCCTTTTCACCACTAACCAACCAAGCCGACCCAGAAAGTGTACTTTCTGTCAACTGGGCTGCATACCTAACACTAAAACAAGTAAAGTCTAGGAGCTACGAAGGTGGGCGGGAGGACAGAGCCTTAACTGGCGCCCCGGGGGACGAGCCCTGCAGCCGGCGCGCCGCGGAGATTACACGCGCTCCCAGCGGTTCGCAGAGAAGAGCAGGTGCACTGAGTGGTCCTCCACCTCGCTCCTCTTCTCCAGGTAGGCGCTCAGCAGTCTGCCGATCTCGGTCGACCTTTCTGGAAAGGGGACACACGGCCGGGTCAGGGACACGGCTGCGGGCCCGCCGGGGCGCAG